AGGGTCAGCGGCAGGTTATGTAAGTTGGCTTTTTCTCTGTTTGCTTGTCATTAGATTTTATGCATTTATTTACCAATTATACAATAAATATTACACTATTGGAAGTACACTTTTTTTCTCCTGGTCAGCTTTATTTTTTACCAGTGTCCGGGCAGGAAAAAATAGCATATATTCAACGATATCAATGACAAGATACATGCGTTTATGCTTGATTATAAGAGCGTGTATGCTGCTGTAGTGGCATCCAGCATCTCTGGTGAGTTTAAATTTCACTGGGAGACGGTGGTGGCACATTTAATTGAAATTGCTTTTTCTACAATCAAGAGCACCTGTATATGTTGGCGGATGGACATTTTATTAACACTTTTGTCATTTGGTTTGAGGGACTTTTATTTTTGAACACAGTATATTATTATTACTATCATATTAGTTTCATATCTTTCTAGCACTGCACTTTTCACGCTCACATAAAAAGGATATATTTATGTGCGTTTTACCCAGGTCTCTAAATTTTGTAAAAGATAAGTTCACCTTTTGTAACATGTTACACCAAGATTCAGGGTGTAATGTCGGAATGGCACCAGCACCCTCCCGATCCCAGTTGTAACAGCTAGCGGGGGATCTTCTCCTCCTGCTAGCTGTCACCATTTTCTTTTAAAACCGTGGCCGTTCTGGGCTCCGCTCATTCACAGAGAAAACTACAAGTTGAACTGGATGGACTTCTCTTTTTTCATCCAGACTATGCAACAAGTCACGGCAGCCTTTGCTGCCTCGGCAATCCACAGCGGACTGTACGGGATGTACGAGCAAGCAGATATACTGACAGGTCAGGGGACAGCTGCATGGCACCAACGATCTGCTGATCGCTGGTGTAATGCTTTAGAGCAGTGGTTCTCAACCTTCCTAATGCTGTGACCCTTTAATACAGTTCCTCATGTTGTGGTGACCCCCAACCATAAAATTATTTTCGTTTCTACTTCATAACTGTAATTTTGCTACTATTATGAATCTTAATGTAAATATCTGATATACAAAATGTATTTTCATTGTTACAGTACATGATTTTACATTTACCCAGTACCGTATTTTTCGCCGTATAAGACTCACTTTTTCTTCCCCAAAACTGGGGGGGAAAAGTTGGTGCGTCTTATACAACGAATAGAGAGAGGCGCGGCCACGGCCGTAGGAAAGGCCGCGGCTTTGGCCTATCTCTGGAGCGGTCGGCCATCTTAGTACACCCGGCCGCTGATGCGCGTGCGCGCTGACGTCATCGCCCCCTCTGCTCGTGGATACCTATCATAGTGCGGATCTACAACAACAGGTGAGGAGCGGGGCAATGCAATGTTACTGGCTATTATTACTATGTTGGGGGCAATGTTACTGGCTATTATTACTAATGTGGGGGCAATGTTACTGGCTATTATTACTAATGTGGGGGCAATGTTACTGGCTATTATTACTAATGTGGGGGCAATGTTACTGGCTATTATTACTAATGTGGGGGCAATGTTACTGGCTATTATTACTAATGTGGGGGCAATGTTGCACTGGAACAGTGATGGAGATGACGAGTGGGGGGCAATGGTGGACTTTACAGTGATGAGTGGGGGCAATATTACAGCATTGGGTTCAGAATCTTTTTTTTCTAGATTTTCCTCCTTTAAAATTGGGTGCGTCTTATATGCCGGAGCGTCTTATATGGCGAAAAATACGGTAATTATAATTCACGAAGTGTCGTTTTACCACCAATACTGCTGCTTTCTACACAGTAGCTGCTGTTTACACATGTGACTGGTACACATAAGTACATTATGGCACCAACCCTGTCAACCTGTATTTGTACGGGGTGTATGTGATGGGGTTGGCGCGATGATGTCATCACGCCGGGTACTGGTATGTGGGCGTATCTGCATGTGGGCGGACCCGTCTGGATACGGATAGAGGAGCGGTGTCTCGGTTCCTAAGACCATATTGGAAATGTGTTTTCTAATGGTCATAGGCAACCCCTGTGAAAGGGTCATTCGACCCCCAAAGGGGGAGCAGTTGAGAACCGCTGCTTAAGAGGCTCCACAAACAAAAAAAATAAATGCACATTTTTTCACCAGCAAAAAAAAATTGTGCCTTTATTATATTTTGTTAAAAGGTGAACTTATCCTTTAATGAATGGAGGCAGGCTGTATTCTAACACTTTATATGAGGCAGGAAATGGAATCCCTGCCGTGATTTTTTTTTTTATTTCCTATTAGCGAAGATTATGTTCACACAAGTTTTTAAAGTAGAACTTCACAGTCTCAATCAATAATGACTATTTTTAATCCTTATGCTTCAAGCATTAGATAGGAGTGTACACTTTTTTTTGTTCTAAACTGTTTTTTTTTTTTTTTTTTATATATAACTCTTAGGATATTTCCAGGTTTCCAGGTCTAGGCAAATTATGTCAAACATCTCAGGAGTCTTCAGCAAGGAGGTGGGTTTTCTTAGATAAGCACACCCTCCTGTCTGCATGCTTGAGCTAAGGGCAGATGAATTCCAGAAAGTAAATGTTTCATGAAGGATCTGTCCTTACTCAAGATGGCCACGGCCAGAAATGCTAGGGCAGTGTTCTTCAAAGTGATTTCTCAGCAAAATAAAGCATGAAGACATGGATGGATGAGATTGATTTGAATAATAAAAATTAATTAAAAGCGTTTTTGGTTTGTGGTGCACAGATACAGTGTAGTTCTGCTTAAAGCCAAAAGAATCATTTTACACATACTGCAGCAAACTATTTACATGACTTCCACAGGAAAATGAAAGCCAATCTAAAAATGTATCAAGTACAATTTTTTTCCACTAAGCCTCAATGCAGTGGCTTGTTAACATAACTTCTAAAACAACACACACTGATAAGCACAACAATTTTATCTGCACCTGAGATTGCAGCAAAATGTACCAAATTTCTTTTAATGTCAGTGAGCACCAAGACAAAAAATTTAAATTGAAAATTCATTCCATTATAAAACCATTCGTATACTGTCCCCATCCCCCCCAACCCACAACTTACTTGAGCCCGATCTTGTTCCAGCAATGTACACAAGACAGTGGCTCTCTCCCTCCTCATTGGCCATTGGCCCAACTGCAGTAAATCACAGCCGGTGAGGTGGGAGTAAGGGGCAGGGTTGAGCCCCGCTCTGTAGTAAATGGTAAAGCATGAATGCTCCTATAGCAAGCAGCTTGCTATGATGGTACTCAGCAAGGGGGGGAAGAGCCAGGAACACCAGCAGCGAACTTGAGAAGAGGAGGTTCAGGACTGCTCTGTGCAAAACCATGGCACAGAGCAAATAACTATGACATGTATGCTATTTTTTAAAAAATGCACCGTTAACCATTTACCGTCCACCCTATAGCAGAAATACTGCTACAGGGCGGCACAGGTGCACAAAATCACGTATATATACACATGATTTTGCATTTTTGGGTAGGGGGCACGCACACGAACCGCCAATCTCAGCCCCGGGTGTCAATCACCGGGTCCCGGGCGGTGATTGCTAAAGATCACCGACGGGGAGGATGGCTGCTTTGTTTACCAACAGTCCTCCTCCCTGTCAGTTTGGGCACACTGCTCTGGATGACTGAGCAGAGCCATCCAGAGCAGTGTGCTTTACAGTGAAGCACCCCCACCCCCAGTTAAAACACTCTCAGCACACAGTTAACCCTTTGATCACCCCTCATTGTTAACCCCTTCCTGCCCAGTGCCATTAGTACAGTGTTCATGCTTTTTTTTTTTTTTTTTTTTTTTTTTTAATAGCACTGATCACCGTATTGGTGTCACTGGGGATGTCGGTGACACCAAGTCAGTTTCCCCCAGTATCAGAATGTCTGCCGCAGTCCCACTATAAATTGCTGATCTCCGCCATTATTAGTTTTAAAAAAAAATCCAGTATCTATACCGCCATTTGCAAACGATAGAACTTCCACGTAAACCAATTTATTTACACGTATTGGGAATTTTTTTTGTTAGCAAAGATATGTCACAGAATACATCTTGGCCTAAATGTATGACAAAATTTGATTTTGAAAATTTTTTTTATTGGACACGTTTAACCGCTTCAGAAATACTGCTACAGGGCAGGACAGGTGCGCAAAATCACATATACATACACACACACACACACACATTATATATATATATATATATATATATATATACACATACATACATACACACACACACACACACATACACACGTGATTCGCGCTCCCACGGTTTTCGCACCCCTCCCAGATGGTGACAGATTTCCCGTCAGTACACCAGTTATCATATTTAACCAACTTGATTGCCAGGAACATGCTCACAATCACAATAAACCTCCATTCCTAGTATAGTGTCTGAACGGATCAATATCTTTGATCAGATCAGCACTATATCAGTGGTCAGATTAGTATAGTGTCCCCAAAAATGCAGCGTTAGCGGGATCAGCCCTGGCACCTGCGTATAGCCCCTATGCTTAACCCCCCCCCCCCCTTCTCCCCCAGCAAGTGCAGTGTCAGTAAGCCGCGGTCATTTGATACAGCACAGAAAAAACTGCAGTGTTCGCAGAATCAGGCCTAATCTCTGTTAGCACTTGCCAGTAAATTTTTTTGTAGCGGTTCAAGCAATCCCTGACAGCCAGGTGCTCCGTGGTGAGTCCCATAAGTGCAGTACAAGCTGGTACGCTGGTGAGCACAAGTAGTGTCCCGCAGCCACCAAGATTTTGCACACATGCCCATAGAGTCCCTAGTACCCTTCCGGATGTGATGCAAATCCCGACTGGTAGCCCACAAATTTTGCAGGACTCGTACTTCCCGCATTCACTGCCCACCCGGAATTCAGTTGGAAAAATCTAATTTAAATATTCCCCTTGATTTTTTGGAGCTGTTTTTCACAGAAGATCTGTATGCAGTGATTGTGGATTAAAGCAATTTATATGCACAACAGTTTATCGCCGCCAACCCAAATTCAAACCTTGCCAGTTCATTCGCATGGAAACCCATTACAGTTTCTGAATTTAAAGTTTTTTGGGCCTAACCCTCAACATGGGCATTACTAAAAAAAAATGTTCTCTGTTGTCATGGCCAGACATAGATATGAGAGTATAATGTGTTTTATGCATTTCAATGACAACACACTGCCATCCTCAGGGTGACCCTGAATTTGACTGGCTCCACAAAAATTCAGCCCCTTGTAAATCACCTTAACCAAAAATTTGCAGATGTCTATACTCCCCAGCAAAACATCTGCGTTGATGAGTCTCTCATTAATTTCTCTGGCCGCCTTCCACTCAAACAAGTTCTCCCCAGCAAACGTGCCAGATATGGGGTCAAGATGTAAAAGACCTGTGAAAGGGCAACAGGCTATACATATAAGTTTTGGATTTACAAGGGAAAAGATAGTCACATGGAGCCCCCCGGATGCCCAGACTACATGGGGAGCAGTGGCAAGATAGTTTGAGACTTGATGTCATCCTTTTTCCATATGGGGCACCACTTATACATGGACAATTTTTATTCAAGCGTGCCACTACTTAGATGTTTGTACAATCTTGGAATTGGCGCATGTGGCACCGTGTGACCTAATCGCCGGGGCTTCCCCCAACGGCTTGTAAATACCAGTCTTAGACTGGGGGAAAAAGCCTGCTTGAGAAATGAGGATATCATTCAGCTGGAGCACTGACTTGTTTATTCATTCAGCCCACATTAAAAAAAAAAGAAAAAAAAAAAAACATAGCATATACACCCAACAAGGACCAGCGACATACTGGTATATCACTGGACTTTGAGTGGTTACACCAGGATGATGCCTGCAGCTGCAGGCATCATCCTGGTGTCGTTTTTTTCAGCTGGCAATCGGCTTTCATGTAAAAGCAATCCTAGTGGCTAATTAGCTGCAGGATTGCTTTTACAAGCAGCGGGAGAAGATGCCCCCCTCCTCCGCTGCCTTCCACTGCCTTCTCGGGCAGTCCCATGCCATCGGGGAAACCTGAGAATGCAACCGGTGTTTGTCAGTGGACCACAGAGCTGATTGGAGACCGGAATGGTTCCAATCATCTCTATAGTCTAAGAAATCGGAAGCTACGAGTATTTCATCACTTCAGTTTCGCAGGATATAAACAGCGCCATTTGTAAATTGGGAAAGCATCTGATCAAACTGATCTTGGTGAGACTAGATAAATGTAAGAGCAGAGGAGATATCTAGAATCTGATAGACCCCAGATTTAAAAATAAAAATATATGACAATGCCCATTGAAGTTATAGGGGATATTTGCATTCCCTGTGATAGCGTTAAAAGTGATAGAAAAAGAAAAAAAATGAAAGGGACAGTGTAAAAATAATTTTAAAAACATCAAAAGAACTTTAAAAAAAAAAAAAGTACCTCCCCCCCAAATCATTTAATAGGGAATGTTTATGCTCAATATGTGAAGTAAAAAAAGCTGAGGGTTTCATTCAGCTTAAAGTGACCTAAATCTACGCCCAGATCAACAGCCATAGTTCCCCCATTACCACAGGCAGTGATACAAATAGCAGCTCACATCAACACTCCATGTAAACAAATCTCTGCAGCTGCTAAATTTAATGTAAAAGCTTACGTTATAGTTATGTAGTAAGGAATAGCCATGTGGAGTTTATCCCAATGTTATATCACTAAAAAGGAATTGAATGAAAAGTGCCTAAAGTCTAAGAAGTAGGAAAACCAAGTTCAGGGTTAACATCTAATACAGAAAGCAGATCTCACCGTTTCCACCAAACACATGTATGTCCACTTGTTCACACAGGTACATGACGAAAGTGTTCACCTGAGGCAAGAGACCGATGAAAAACACAACTGGGAAACATAGCGTGAACACTGTGGAGCAGAAGCACATTGAAAATTACCATGGATGAAAGCAAACTTAAAATAATGCATGCATACTGACAAATCTGTGAGCGACGCATAGAGAAAAAATTATAAACTTGTGCTTAAAGAACACTAATAACAAAATCTGTATCAGGCTAATGATCATAAAAGTGTTCAAGAACAGGGGATGAAATAAGGCCAGCTGGACTTCAACTGCCATATCCACTGGGCGCATACTCCATTTTTTTTTAATGAACTCACTTTCCATAGGGCACTGCTGAACGAACCTTTTGGGCGGGACAAGCACTTTGACAGGATGAGCACAACTGATGTACAAAACATCCTTTAAAATTAGCCAGAAATGATTTAGGATATTGTGGCGGACGCCATGACCGACATACTATAATCTTTGAAGCAGAAGACATGGGGAAGTGACAGTTTTAGATTGGTCTGGACCCCAATGTACTTGCTGTGACCTGTAGTCCCTCAGTCTCTGTAAATCTGGTTCTGCCTCTGCCATATGCAAGTTCCAGGACAACCACCGCCAGGACACTCAACCCTGCTTGTGATATAAAAGGCCATACTGTGAAAGCACATGGCAAATTCAGCTCTGAATTAAAGAAGGGAGTGCAGGAAATGCTCCGCCCTCTGCATTTGGCACCAGGAGGGTCCCAGACTGCCCCTCGGGCAGCTGGGAAAGAAGATTTAGAGTGTTTCAAGGTACAAGACAGTACAAAAATAGGAGCCCACAGGCCAGTCCCTTACCCACCCTCATGTCCACAAGCACAGATGTGGACCAAGGGTACCACCCAGGGACTACCATCAGAGCACGAACCATTCCACTTCACAGGATTCCCAAGGTGGTCCAATCTCCACCCATTGCACTGGGCCACACTACAAGGGTCTTCAGGGACTCAACTACCCAGCTGAGATTCACTGCCCTGGACCTGTATAGCACCTTGCTGGTCTGCAAGGTAATATATCACAGGGTTTCGTTATGCAGAGTTGAATGCCAACTGGAAATATTACAGGGCGTCTCTGCACATCCTGGGTTCAATTCCTCTGAGTGTAGTAAGGCACAGACAGTGGATCAGGAAGAGCCTCTTAATCCCAGATGGAACTGCTGATAAACTAGCTATTTTCGTGCAGAAACTGCAGGCATGACCATCACCTAGGACACTGAAATCTTGCTGGGGGGGGGTTATGCCCAAGAGGTGGATTTCCTGTATTTTGTTTCCAGTGACCAATCACCTAACAGTGGCAAAATAATCATATTGTAAATGTACAATAAAAAAAACCTTGTTCATTCACATTTTCCCCAATATACAGCAAGCAAGACAATTACAGCAGTCCGTCTATGAGAAGCTATGTCTATATGCAATGAATGGCGCTCACTTTGAGCATTCATGTTAAACTGTACACATAAATCTAGAGTAAGCTTGATCCTGTGTGAATAAGAACACTTTTATGACATTATATGCAGTGGATTGAAGGTAAGCAGTGATGCTCAGAACTAGGAGCATATATGAAGATGATGCTGGGTATAGTGTAATCAATAAAACTAATATTCATAGAAAATGTATACTTACCAATGACTAAATCCCTGGCAGATATGAGAAGTAGAGGATTGGTGAAGGCCATTCCATACAGCTTGTATTTGGTGGCTGACAGGTTTTTGCTTCCGTAATCCAATAACCAAAAATAAGGCCACAACAGGCACAGAAGTAAACAGGCCTACTATAGGCTATGATACGGTTATGGCCCTGCAACACCAAAGGATATACAAGATTTTCATGACAGGTTATGACTTGAGAGCAAGCAAGTTCATCTCACCGTTTATACACTTCACATAGTTAACTACACGATCACTGCAGCTATAGAAATATACTTACATGTCTAGGGGAAGAAGAATCAGGCTGAACACTCTGGAAATAAACAAATAAATAATGAATACATATACTAAAATCAGAGAGCTCACACATGAAATTACACTTCAACTTTGCCTGAATACTAGCTTTCAGATCAGTCCTACATATGTAACACACACTAATCATTGACACAAATAAAAGTATCTCAAATGTGGTTTTTTTTTCATATAAAAAAAAGAAAGGAATACATGTTTCTGTTTTGTAAAATCACAGGGAAATAACCCATATACAGTATCATAATTGCATATCAAACAACATTTTCTTACATACAGCAATTTTCATTTAAAGAGACCCATTTACATTCTTATTTTACATGCAAAACTTCATGGATTATTTTGCACATGGTAAATTTTCAAACATGTTCCTCAACAGGAGGGATAAATGGCAAAATAGGAGAACAAAGGAAATCTCCATGGGATGTCAAGGAGCAGGAAGGAGATGAGAGAACAATGTATGGTTACAAAAAAGAGGAGGCCTTGGACCTCAAAATAGCCTTTTAAAATCTGTGTAGCACAAGAAATGGTTCCTTGTGATTAAGGCAACCAACTCGCCTTGCAGAGGGACAGCAACAAGCAAGATATTTTGAGGAGACATGGGAGTGTCCCTGACAGGTTTCGCAGAGGCACTAGGGAGCAATATGTGAGACACCCTTCACAAATTTAAATCAATATATCTTGTGCCAAACTCAATAAGCCACATGCATAGAGCTAAAGAACAGCCAAAAAGGCGATTGTCAAACACTTTACAGGAGTTGCAGGCAGCCCTGCTCCCCCCTGTGCCTTATTCCACTGTGATTGTTTTTACAGGATATCATACCATTTACATATGAGTATTACTTTTTTTTTACAAAATATTTAGTGAGATTTTCAAAAATAACATACAGCACAAGAGTTCAATACAAAAGGTAACACATGAAGGAACAACAAGAAGACAACGTGGGCCAAGAGTAAAAAAAACAAAAAAAAAAACAGCAGTTAGCGCCGTATCCATCAATGGTAACAAAAAAATACCAGTTTTCTCTTAACTTCATCGACAGACACCACAACAACTTCTATTCTCATCCATAGGGACGTCCTAAAGCAGTACCCAAACAGGTGAAGGGTGTGAGAAAAACCCAACACCAAACATGAAAAGACAAAAAACCAGGTCAACAGCAGCTCAACAGAAACACAGGAGCCCAACCAGAACATACACCTCCCCCCACCACCCCCAGGAGGAAACAGAAACCTCAAACAACCGCCTGCAAAACTTTGCAGCCAAAACACGTGTCCAAAGACGAGAAGACATTCACCTTGTAAAAATTAGTAAAGGTGTGCACAGATGACCAGGTACCCGCCTTACAGATTTGAGACAGACACCTAATGACGGCCCAAGAAGCA